ACATTCCTCAAAGGGTGAGAGCAGGCAAGAGGTATAAACTCATGGAAACTGTACCAGGCAGGTACCTTGATTGGCTTGAAAGACGCTAAGGGCAGACTAGGGCCTTTGTTTTGTGGAAGGGCTCCTCTTTGCTGTAGAGGTTCTGGGTCTCAGGGCTGGGAGGACGTTTGTACTCCGTGGGTGTTCTGTGGAGAAGGCTCTCTGATGTGGGGTCCTCTTCCCTCTTCAGAGCCTCCTTGTTCTCTGATGGCCCCCAGGAGGGTGCTGAACCCGGGCAAGGATGGTGGGTTCTCCTTACAGCACATCTTTTGACCTCATTATACCAGCACCTGTTCCAGCTGGTTTGTTCCCTCTGTGGCTGAAAGCCAGGCACCTGGGGGCATTATCTCCTTGAGATGCTGGTATCCCCGGCCTGGGAGGGCAGACGTTATCACTCCTGTTTTGCAAGTGAAAAAAGCCTTCTTGGAGTTAAGGGGCTTGTTCAAGGTCACAGGGACAGAACCAGAACTCCAGTCCAGATCTATCAGCAGTGCAGCCGGCCATACAGCCATTTCCTGCTGGGACACTTACCCTCAGTTCCCCTGCTCTGCCTTTTAGTTCATCTTGCAAACTGAAACCACGCTAATCTTTACAAAATACCCATTCACCTCGTCACGTCAGAAAACCTGCGGTCATTCTTCAGTGCAATAGGATATATCCACTGACATCTCTTCTCTGCACTTTCACTTTAGTTGTATTTGAAGGGATGGGAGGTGGAGGTGGCAAGGGTTTTCCTCCCTTTCCAGCCTAACATCTCTTTCTTCCTACCTGGCCAGTCTCATTCCAGATCTGATTCATCCTACAGGTTCAGTCTCTGCTCCACATTGATCTCATTAACCTCATTTATCACTCATACTACTTGTTTTTGGTTGGCTTCCAAGCCATCCTGGCCCACTGGACTTGGTATTGGTGGTATAGTTCTATTTAGAGATGCTTTTCAATGACCTTTTCCAATCACCCCAAGTCTAGTTGAATTTGTTAGCTCCTTGAAGGCAGGGCCAACAGAGTCTGCTTCTGGGTTGCTGGGGGGGGGGGGGGGGGTGTGGGGGGGGGGGGGGGGGGGGGGGGGGGGTGTGGAGAGAGAGAGAGTGAGTGTGTGTGTGTGTGTATATATATATATATGTATATATTCTCCCTGGGGGGAGGGGCCTCTGCTCAGGAGGAGGGAGCATGAAATGGTTGAAGGTGTAACTGGAGGCTCCACCTGGAGGCTCCAGAGGAGGAATGGAGTCTTGAGCTGCAGATGTTAGTGCTGGGAATAAAGGTGTTGCTATACTTTTGAACTCCTTCTCCCCACCCCACCCCCAACCCTGCACCTTGCAAACAGGAAAAATGAGACATCTCGAAGGCAGACCCAGAATGACCCAGGGGACCCAAGGACTTGGCCAGGAAGTGATTTTCTAAGCCTGAACTCCTCACACCACGCTAAGGCACAGCTCTATCCACTGGCAGTGTGAAGAGGAGACCCCCCCCTTCTCGCCGCCCCCCCCAACCCCAGTTCTCGTTCTGGAGCGCTCCCGGTTTTGTGTGGGCGCTTTCTGTCCCTCTGTGTGCTTTGAATTTTCCTACAGCTTCCTGGGCCTCTCCGCTCGTTTGTAAGCTTTTCCTTTTTCTTTTTGGTTGCGCTGCGGAGAGACTCACTTTTAACAACTTTCTCCAGGCTGTCCCAGACGGTCCGAAAGCTCCAGTCTCCTTTCGTCTGCGCTCCCAGTTGTCGGGGCGCTCGCAGCTTACCTCCGCAGCTGGAGCGCAGCCCCTTCCCTCCCGACCCCCGTTCTTCCCTCCCCGCGCTGTCCGCGGGTTCCCGGCCTCGCCCCCAGCTCCGCGCCCGGTTCTGGCCGAGTCGGGGCGGGGGGGCGGGGGCAGGGAAGGCCGCGCGGTGGGATGGTGCGGACACCGCCTCCAGCCTGGCCTGGGCGGGGCCCCAGGAATGGGCGGAGGCCCAGCCGCGCCCCCAGGCCCCTGCGCCGGCCCGCGCCCCTCGGACCGGAGGAGAGGGGCTGGCCCATTGCCAGCGTCTGAGAGCCGGCCCCCTCCCCCGGCCCGCTCGCAGCCAACCAGGCACTCCAGCGGGGCCCACGTGACCTGGAGTTCTAGACAAAGAAAATGTTCAATCCCTCCCCCCCACCTCCCTCGCCCCCTTCCCCTCCCCCCAGACGGGCAGCTACTTACAGAGCTTCAGGGCCGGGGCTCACACCTGAGCTGGACCACCGAGGGGCTGCACCTGGCCTTATGGGTAGGTTCCTGGACGGAGCCCTGGGGAAACTGGGGGCGGGGAGGCGGCAGGGGCCGGTGGGAGGATCTCTGGGCCTGCAGCCCTCTGGGTTGAGAAGAGTCAAGTCTGCCTCCCCGGCCCGCGGGAGCTGGCTGCCCTGCCTGGCCTGAGTTCTGGAGATGCTGAGTTACTGCCGTCCCACCCACTCTCTGCTCAGGAACCCCAAGCCCCACTCCTCCCTGCTCTCAGGTGGGACCTGGCGGCTCCGGGGCCAGGAAGAGCAGCCCTGGCCTGAGCCTGGAGCAGTGGTCAGCAAAGGCTGGGGGGCAGACTCCGTCCCGTGGAGTTGGGCTGGAGGCAGCGGTTTTGCTGAGCTGGCTGGCAGATGGGTTGTTGGCGTTTCCTGGCTGACCTGTGTTCCTGGCTAGTGGACCACGCTGTCCTCAGGCCGTGCCAACCTTGTGGACTCCCAGGAGGGATGATCCCCTCTCCTGTGTGTTCCTGGGAGCCGCCGTCAGGCCACCAGAAAGAAGTGGTGTCGGAGTGGGAGGGAGCAGTGCGACCCTGACACGGGGCTGTGGGGTGGCCTTATGCCGGCCTGGGATGGCAGAGGCACCGGGAACAGCCCCGGGTCTGCTGCCCCAGCGGGCATCCACCTGGGCCCCTAGACCTCTGACCTTTGGCATGGGAAGCAGCCTGAGTCCGGAGGGAGGTGGAGGCGGGACAGCTGCCCGAAGACATGGGACTGGATGGGGAGGCCTTGCCTCCACCAGAGTGGAGTTGCCAGTGGCTCTCCAGGCCGAACAAACTCCAGGCCAAGTGGCCTCCCGGGCCGCCCGTAGTGGAGCTGCGGTGGTGTCTTCATCCTGCCCACTCTCTTGGCTACTCTGGCCTGGGACCTTCTGAACTGAGGTGGTGGGGAGGTGTGTAGGAGCTGTAAGCCCCAAAGCCCAAGCCCAGAGTTAATTAACCCTTATTTCTCCTATTGTCTGCCTGGGGAGGAGGGTTGGCACGAACGTGGAAGCCCAGCCCTCTCGCACTGCCCTAGGCAAGTCTATTCTAATGAGCCCCTCCCCCACCCAGCCACCCTCTCGCCCCTTCTTCCCCTTTCCTCTTGCCTCCTGCTGCTAACCCACCCCCCTCTTCTTCCTTCCCCCACTCCTGCTGGCCAGGTCCTGTTGGAGGCCCCTTCCTCCTCCAGTGCCTGCCAGACCATGCTGGATGCGTGTTCTCCTGCACCTACTGGGTTGGGGGCGCTTAACAGCCATCAGCAGCATCCTCTGACAAGCTGGGGGAAGTTGTGGGGGAAGAAGAATGTTCAGGCACTTGCTTTGGAGGGGGTGAAAAGAGAGACAAAGGGGCTGAGGGGGAGTCAGGAGGGTGGTGGCAGGCACGACTCCCTTCTAGACTAGGGGATGTGGAGGGGGGTGCCTGGCGTGCCCCCCAGTGCTGCTGGCTGTAGATCCTCTTCCATCTGCACTCTTTGTTCTGGCTGAGGGGGCCGTCACCCCCTGGAAACTGGGGCTTTGGGTCATCCAAGGCAGCACCCTGGTCTAGATCAGCATCCATGCCTGAGGTTCACAGAGGCCTGCGCGGTGGAGGGAAGGGAGCAGAGACGGCGAGGCACACTTGTATCTGAGCACATCTGGTACTGGGATAGTGCTGCTGCAGCTGACAATGCTGGAGAAGAAGCCCTCTCCCCTCAGGAGTTGAGTGCAACATCTAGACACACCTTCCTGTAGGGGAGGAGGAGGTAGATAATTGATTTAGGCTGGGGTGGGGCAGAGTCCCCAGGTGAGAGTGGGGCTGGGGAAGGAGGAGCGGTAACCCTGCATTCTCCCGCCCCCTGATCTCCAACAGCTCATTCTTCCAGCTGTTGGTGCTTTGGGAGCAAAGGATGCTTTATCCCACTGTAGAATTTGAGTTAGAGAAAGAACTAGGACTTCCACCCTCAGGTTTTAGGAATTGCTGTAAGAAGCAGGTTTGGTTTGTGGCTGGGAGGCAAAGACTTGCAGATAGAACAAAATAAAATGCATCTAAGAGACAGTAGACCCTTGAGCTGTTCTTAACTGGGGACCTGGGGGTCCATGGACAGGCTTCAGAGAGTCCTTAGAACTCCTGGTACATGCATAAATCATATTCTTAAACCAATCAGAAAAGGTTAACAGCAATCTGTCAGTTCAAACTCCTTTTTAAGGTGGAGCAACTTAAGGAACTGCTCCAAAGTCAGCTATTAATTAGTAGCAAGGCTAAGACAGGAATGTAAACTCTGTGACTTCCAACTTGGAGGTCTTGTTCTCCAGGTAATCTTGAGAATGGGTTTGTATTCACAGCTCTGAACTCTCAGGGAAAGTGTTATTTTGATGATGGGATTTTTTTCCCCCTTGAATCTGGTGTGGTGAAAATGGGGGCAGAGCCTTGAAGTTTGAAGGCCACGTGTCCTAGATTCGATAGTTGGGGTGAGGTTAGGTGGAATGCCCCTCAGCTAACTGTCAGGTATTTCATCCTCTGTAGGGTGATGGGAGGGCTTCCCTGGTGGCTCAGTTTTAAAGAACCCTCCTGCCAATGCAGGAGATGCAAGAGACGTGGGTTCGATCCCTGGGTTGGTAAGATCCCCCTGGAGAAGGAAATGGCACCCCCACTCCATCATTCTTGCCTGGGAAATCCCATGGAGAGACAGTTCTCGTGGGCTACAATCCATGAGGTCGCAAAGAGTCGGACACGACTTAGTGACTAAACAAGGGTGATGGGAATCCTGGAGCAGGTTTTGAGAAGGAATGGGCCTGCAGGTCACAGTCTGAAAGAAGAGCATGAAACAGTGAAAGGATGGAGGCTGTTCAGGTTGGGTGAATCCTTGGGTTTGTCAGTGGGATGGCAGAGAGGATGCCTGGCTGTACTGTGGACTCCCTAAATAACTGTTGAAAGAATGAATACATTGATGGATCTGAAAGGTGCACGTAGAAAGAAGGCATAGAATCTGATGACCAAGTATGTTAGATATAATCCTGAGAACTCCAGGATGGCATGTGAGCAGGAGAGCAGGCAAGCTCTTCTGGGTCTTGTGGTGGTGGTTGAGCAGATGGGAAAAGAACTGAGCACTGTGAACACAAAATAGTGATTTCATTGTTAGACATCACAGCAAAACTAGAATTGTGTGGAAGCCAAGACCAGGAATAGAAGGGGTCGACTACCCAGGAAAACTGTGGAGAAAAGAACAAGAGAATCTGTTTCTAGACTGGGGAGTAAGATAAGAAAGGATGGAGCCAAGGTCTGTGCCTAATCTTAGGTGCATGATTGGTATCTAAACAGAATAGTCTCTGCATATAATTGATGCATATCAGAGGGTGGGCAATTGATGATGCTGACCATTGAGGAAGATTAGTTGAGGGAGGAAGATTTCCTAAGAGGTAGAAGAGAAGGCTGAAGTTGAGCCAAGTGATTGAGTTCACCTCTCAACTGCAAATCTTTCTGTTTTCAACGGCGAGCCCGTTGAGTTGATGAGGGAACTCCTGTCTCCAGCCCCTAACCTTCTGTCATGATCTCCAGACCACGGAGAGATTGAGAAGTGCCCCTTGAGTATCAGATCAGGGTAACTTCTGTTCCTTGTTTCCCCAGGCTGAGAAGAAAGCCAAGGTGATTGCAGTAATGAATGCTGTTGAAGAAAACCAGGGGTCCACTGAGTCTCAGAAGGTGGAGGAAGCCAGTCCTCCCGCCGTGCAGCAGCCCACCGACCCTGCGTCCCCCACGGTGGCCACCACGCCTGAGCCTGTGGGGGCTGATGCTGGGGACAAGAACGCCACCAAAGCAGCTGACGATGAACCGGAGTACGAGGTGAGCCGCTGGCTTCTTCACCCGCCTCGTCCGGCTCCTCCTGTCCTGCTCTCTCTACCTGACCCCACGTCTTTTGGTCTCTCCAGTCTTGCTCTGTCCATTCCGATGGAGCTCCCTCCCGGCTGTCGTGACCCTCAGACGTCCAGGGCTGGGGGTGCTGTGGGGGGAAGCAGGGTGGCAGGGCCTTGTGACCACCCTGTAATGACTTCTGCTCCTTGGGGCTCCAGGACGGCCGGGGCTTTGGCATTGGGGAGCTGGTGTGGGGGAAACTGCGGGGCTTCTCCTGGTGGCCAGGCCGCATTGTGTCTTGGTGGATGACGGGCCGGAGCCGAGCAGCGGAAGGCACTCGTTGGGTCATGTGGTTTGGAGACGGCAAGTTCTCAGTGGTGAGTCGGGGGTTCGTTGGTGGCCTGGGGGGTGGGGATGGGAAGGGGTCTTGGTCCCAGGGTCTCTGGTTTGGGCTGGGGGTGTGGTTGGAATGGGATCATAGGAGAGGGAGCTGTGTTCATCCCCACTCTGCGAATGTGTGGTTGGAAGAATCCTCAGAGGTAATGAGGTCGTACTTGGAGAGTTCGGCTGCCTTCCAGGAACCCTTTACCTGGAATGCCCTTCCACCTGTGTCAGGTCCTCGTCACATCTGGGGCTGGACTCTTCCTTTGCATTCTGTGATTACTTATTGGTGCATCCAGTCCTCCCGAGGGCAGAGGCGGGTCTTAATGCCCCCCCACCCCACCATGCCAGGCATGTGGTGGGTGCTCGATGAGCTTGGGAAGAGGTGCAAATGAGGCGGGTTGTGCTTCCAGGTGTGCGTGGAGAAGCTGATGCCGCTGAGCTCCTTCTGCAGTGCTTTCCACCAGGCCACCTACAACAAGCAGCCCATGTACCGCAAGGCCATCTACGAGGTTTTGCAGGTCAGTGCTCCTCCAAGGGGCTTAGGGGCGGGTGGGGTGTGGGGGCGGGCTCCATCTGGGGGCTGGAGCCCAGGGTTAGGCTTGGGCAGAGGGTCCACCTGTGAGGCCCTTTGGCCTCCTCTCCTCACTCGCCCCCTTTCTGCACCTTTTCCCGCCTCTTGGCTGAGCCCACCTTCGCTACTCTCCTGACAGCCTCCCCCACACGTGTTGCCCCCAGGTGGCCAGCAGCCGAGCAGGGAAGCTGTTTCCAATGTGCCATGACAGCGACGAGAGCGACACTGCCAAGGCTGTGGAGGTGCAGAACAAACAGATGATCGAGTGGGCCCTGGGAGGGTTCCAGCCCTCTGGCCCCAAGGGCCTGGAGCCCCCAGAAGGTACATGCAGGTGCACCAGCAACTCTATGCCTGGGCTGGGGGAGCCATGCTTGACGGGGGGGCCTACAAGGTCTCTCTCCCATCACAGTGGCCCGTGGGAATGCTACCGTTCCCGTCTCCCTGGGGTCAGGGTAGGGACAGGGCTGCCCTGGGACTCTGAATGACCTATTCCCCATTGGCTTGCGGGCCCCAGAGAGTTGGGAGTAGGAACAAGTTAGGGACCAGGCTGCACCCCCTTGTTGTTGTAGGCAGATGTGCAGGGGAGGGAGCTGGGGTTCCTTGTCAGCGGTAACCGTGGTCTCCTCACCTGCTTCCCTGATCCAGAGGAGAAGAACCCCTACAAAGAAGTTTACACAGACATGTGGGTTGAACCCGAGGCAGCTGCCTATGCACCGCCCCCACCAGCCAAAAAGCCCCGAAAGAGCACAACGGAGAAGCCTAAGGTCAAGGAGATTATTGATGAACGCACAAGAGGTAGTGGGCCTGGTTCTGGAGGGAGTGGCCTCTGGAGGGCGTGGTGGGGTGAGGCTGGCATTCAGAGGGGTGGGTGTGGCCCTCGAGGGCCCCTCTAATGGCACGTTCTCCTCCCCTCCCAGAGCGGCTGGTGTATGAGGTACGGCAGAAGTGCCGGAACATCGAGGGTGAGTCGTGAGGGGCTGCTGGGTGTTGACTCTGGGAAGTCAGTTATTTGTTGTCCATGGGCCGGGCATGCGGGTCCTTCGGGTGGACATGAGGCCCACAGGTGGTGGCCGGCACAGAGCAGTAAGGTGCCAGGGAACGGCTGCTGTTGTGGGCCAGGGGTACCTAGAGATGGCCCTGTCCCGTGCCTCCCACCGCCTCCAGCCTGCTTGACACACACCTGCCTTCCCAGTGCCACAGTCTTCCCTGTCAGTGGTAGGGGCTGGTCATTAGGGTTGTGGGTCAGAGAAAGGTGCCCTCTCTTGGACTTGCATGCAGGCTCAAGTTGCTTCAGTCATGTCCGACTCTTCGCAAACCCCTGGACTGTAGCCTGCCAGGCTCCTCTGTCCATGGGATTCTCCAGGCAAAAATACTGGAGTGGTTGCCGTGATCTCCTCCAGGGGATCTTCCTGACCCAGGGATTGAACCCGCATCTCCTGCATTGTAGGCGGATTCTTTACACCTAAGCCACCGGGGAAGTCTGGATTTGAGCTTGGCCCTTTTACCTTTTCTCCACCTTCTCTCCTCTGATGGTCATTAGTGCCTCCCAGGTCTTGTCTCCCTTTGCCAAGTGATGGTGTGTCCAGCTCGGGGACCTCAGGGCTGGGAAGGATGGGAGCAGGGGCCCAGGCCCTGAGGACTGGCTGCTCAGGGACATCTCCAGAGTGACCCGAGGTCCGGCCTGTTCTCGCAGGCAGGCTCTTGTCCTCATATCATGCTTTTCCTGGAAGGTGGCGTTGCTGCTCTGGGAGATGAGTAGCCTTCTGGGATGGGGCCGCATGGCCTCCCTGTTCCATGGGGCCCCTCCCAGATGCCTTCCTGCTGCCTTTTCTGGCTGACACTCCAGCACGCCACTAGACACAGCTCTTCTGGAGCCAGGCTTGGGCCCCAGGCGGGAGGGGGTCCTTCAGTGACACTCTGCCTCCGCTGTTCCAGACATCTGCATCTCTTGTGGGAGCCTCAACGTCACCTTGGAACACCCTCTCTTCATCGGAGGAATGTGCCAAAACTGCAAGGTAGGGCACACAGCAGAGACAAGGCCCTGGGCTGACCACACCTCTTGGCCTCTGGGCTGTAGCACGTGTGGTAGCTATAAGGGTGACTCAGGTTTGCTCTTGATGCAGAGTCCTGATAAAATGGACCCTGGGGGTTCAAGTGTCTGACCTGCTGTTGCTTTTCCTCTGAGAAAAGACCTTGCCTCCACTCTAAGGCCTGGTTCTTGTCTCCAGATGCGGGCTCACAATGTCACAGTCACTAGTGTGAAGTGGGGGCAGGACAGGTCGTTGAGTTAGGGTTAGGGTACCTCTCCCCACGGCGTCCCCTTCCCAGATGTGTGGTCCGGGCGGAACCCTGACTGGATGGGTGGCAGGGTTGTGTCTCTAGGGCTGTATTGAGGTTCCAAGGGGAGAGCCCAGAGGCTGGGTTTACCGCCTGTCTTTGCGCTGGCTGGCCTGGGTGATGCTCTGCCCGTTGGTCTCTGAGCCTCCACACTGCTCCCTAGAACTGCTTCCTGGAATGCGCGTACCAGTACGATGATGACGGCTATCAGTCCTACTGCACCATCTGCTGCGGGGGGCGCGAGGTGCTCATGTGTGGGAACAACAATTGCTGCAGGTGAGGCCCTGCCCCGAAGGCGGTGCACTCCTCCTTGCCTGGCACCTGGACTTTTGCCGCCCATTCTGCCCAGCGCTGCAGCCACAGCCACGCTCCATCCTGTCCTGGGGGTGAGCGTTCCCTCCGCTCCCCTTGCTTCCTTCCAGGTGCTTTTGCGTGGAGTGTGTGGATCTCTTGGTGGGGCCAGGGGCTGCGCAGGCAGCCATCAAGGAAGACCCCTGGAACTGCTACATGTGTGGGCACAAGGGTACCTACGGGCTGCTGCGGCGGCGGGACGACTGGCCGTCTCGGCTCCAGATGTTCTTCGCCAACAACCATGACCAGGAATTCGTGAGTGCTGGGTGCTGGGTGGAGGGCAGCTCTTTTCAACCCCTACCTGCCAGAGCCAGAGGGCAGACTCTGCCAAAGCAAGAGCACTGGATTGAGGTCCTGAGCACCGTGTAGCCGTGCCTGCGCTGCCAGCCAGGGGTGTGGGGGTCCGGAGGGTCCAAGTGCTCATAATCGGCAGAGAGGCCTGCCCCAGGTGTGGGTCTGCGGTACATTCCTGGATGCTCACCTGGCCTGTTGTGCTGGCTGCTAGGACCCTCCGAAGGTTTACCCACCTGTCCCAGCTGAGAAGAGGAAGCCCATCCGGGTGCTGTCTCTATTCGATGGAATCGCTACAGGTGAGAGTGGTTGGCATCTTGGTCCTAGGACATGGGCGCTGAGCTTGGGGGACTCTGTGTATGTCACTCTGGCAAAACAGGGTGACAGTTAATATTACAGCTGTTAAAATGTTAGCCTAAGGAGGAAACTCTTGTGTTCAATGAGAAGTTGAAAATAAGTGGTAAGCCAGCATGTTCAGTGGGCATTCCCTTAAATGGGCAGGGAGGCAGGGCTAGGGGGCTCTTCAGCAGAGAATGGAGGTGTCGCTGGTCAGAGATTATTGAAGATTTTCACAAAACCTCAAAGGACAGACTTGGCGACCAAAGTAAAAACATAGGCAGTCCTGTTGTGCTTTGATTATAAGTCACAGTGAAAAACAAACTGTAAACAAAAGAGTCTAAAGAATATTTAAATTGCCCATAATCCTATAATTAGTGTTTTGGTATATGTCCTTTTACATTTTTAGATTTTAGATATTTTCTGGGCTTGTATGTTTATATAATCATATGTAGATATTAAAATGCATAGTGTTATAACTTGCCATTTCATTTATAGTGTTATGAGTAGTTTTTCACATCAACCAATATAGGACTATGTTATTTGTAAATGCTACATATGATTCCGTGGAGTGAAAGTACCATAATTTAATAAACCCCTATTGGATGGTTTAATTTTTTCCTGATTCTTCTGGGCAGTGCTGTAACAAGCATTCTCATACATGCGTTTTTATATACTTAACCCATTAACTGTGTAGTCAGTTTTTAATTTCATGTGGTTCTTAACCTGAGTCTTGACATCCACCCCTCTGCCCTGCCCCCAGGCTGAGGCTGTTCTATATTTAGGAAAGAACAGTCCTCAGAACTTGTCCCAGGATCAGAGGGAGATGGGAAGGCTGGGCCCAGAGACCTTGGCCAGAGGGTGGGACTGGTCCCCCGGCCGGATGTGTGTCTTCTGTACCCAGCTCAGTGCTGTCGTTGTGTGAACCTAAAGGAGTTCATGTACAGCTTTGGTTTCCCAGGCTAACTTAAGCTGCGTCACACCCCAAGAGGCTGCGCAGGCTCCTTGTAGGGAGGTCTGCTAGGAGCAGATCTGCTGGGAGCAGTGGAAGATCATACAGAGTCTCCTGAAGTTCTCAGGGTCTCTCGGAACGCTGGTCTGTTCCAGCCAGCGTTTGTGGAAGGGTCCTGGTCAGGAAGCGTGAATACTGGTTAGCTCAGGAGGAAGCACATTCAATGAGACCACCCACACTGCCTTGAAGACCCAAGAGAAGGGCTGGATCAGGCATGCGTGGTCCTCTGAGGTGGAGAAGGGTGCCCAAGTGTTGGGGGTTCACAGAGGTGGGAAGGCCATCCTGGGGGCCATGGAATGGGGTGGGCATCAGTGAAACCTTTTTAGAGCAGGCGGTGTTTACATTGAGTATTGTTGGATGGCTGAATTGCAGCATGATGTTAAGGGCCAAGGAAGGACCCGTGTACAGAAATAGCAAAGGAAAGCCCACTCCAGAGTGAGCTGTTGTTCTCCCCTCGTTCCGGAAAGCCCTGGAATGTCCTTCTTGGAATGTTTTCTGAATAGATCCAATTAGGGATGAGACAGCCTCAACGGTAACAGCCTCAATGTCCTTGTTACTGATAATTCCAATCTGACCCGGAAGTCTCCGGGCAGCCTTCTGGGCAGGGTGGGGCTTGGGCCTGACTCTGACCCACGTGTCCGGCTGGCCACAGGGACCCCCTGCAAAGACCAGGGTGCCGGGCAGGTGACCCAGTGACTCTGCTTTTTGCTGGCTGGTACAGGGCTTCTGGTGCTGAAGGACTTGGGCATTCAGGTGGACCGCTACATCGCATCTGAGGTGTGTGAGGACTCCATCACGGTGGGCATGGTGCGGCACCAGGGGAAGATCATGTACGTCGGGGACGTCCGCAGCGTTACACAGAAGCATGTACGTCAGCGCCGCAGTCCGCCCCTTTCTCCACGTCACTCATCTCCTGGGCCCGCCCCCTCACGGCACTCAACTCCTGGGCCCGCCCCTTTATGGCACTCAGCCCCCCTGGACCCGCCCCCTTCTACACCTCGCTCAGCTCCTGGGCCCCCCCCCCCCTTTTCAAATCACTCAGCTCCTGGGCCGGCGCCCACTGCTTTCATCTTCCTCTCCTCGCTTGAACTCTCTCCCTCTTTTGTCTCAAGAGGCTGGGCAGGTTCCACTGGGAATTGGGAAGCCAGGCCTTTTGGGCTTGGGCTTCTCCCTGGCTGGTTTCTGGACCCCCTTGAGTGAAGCGCTGTGGGGTACAGTTGGTTCCCGTCCTCCTGGTACTGCTAGCCACTGCAGCTTCTCCAGCCTGCATTTTGTGAGAGTAGTGGGGTCTGGTGGGGTCCTCTCTGAGTGGCCCTCTTGCCTTTCCAGGTAAACATGTAGACCTTGAATCCCAGCCCCTGAAGGGCATTGGAAGGGTTCAGAGGGCCCAGGACCCCTTTCATCTGGCGCAGCCCGGACTGCTGTCTCTGCACGGCTGTTTTCCTTGCTGGCCTCCTAGATCCCCAGTTTAGTCGCTTCACTTTACTATCTGGAAAACTGGGCCCAGAGAGCCTCAGTAACTTGCCCATGGCTGGAAGAAGTGTGTATGTGTGTGTAGAGAGCATACAAAGCATTCGGGTCTTTTCTCTCCCAAGCAAAGTACTTTTTTTTGCCAACTTCACAGATCATTTCTCTCTTCCTTTCCGCCTCTGTCCCCGGACATCAGGCCCATCACATTACCTTTATCCTCCCAGATCCAGGAGTGGGGCCCGTTCGATCTGGTGATTGGGGGCAGTCCCTGCAATGATCTCTCCATCGTCAACCCCGCCCGCAAGGGACTCTACGGTAGGTGGCTCGTCACCCCTCCGCCTCCTGAGCTGGCGCTTCCGCACATCGGTTTCCTCTTTGGATATTTCTGCCCTGGGACGGCTACTCCCAACGACCCCACCCTCCCCGTGCCCGAGCCACACCACTGTCTCCTGCAGACAGCCCCAGCTGATGGCTTTCTCTTCCGACCTCTCAGAGGGCACTGGCCGGCTCTTCTTTGAGTTCTACCGCCTCCTGCATGATGCGCGGCCCAAGGAGGGAGATGACCGCCCCTTCTTCTGGCTCTTTGAGAATGTGGTGGCCATGGGCGTTAGTGACAAGAGGGACATCTCGCGATTTCTCGAGGTATAGCCAGCACCCTTGGTTTGGCCAGCTCACTAATGGCTTCTACCTTGGACTGCTGCTTTATCCCTATCTCATCTGCATTGTGGAGCTGGGGACTGGGGACTTCTGCTTTGCAAGGGGCCCGTTGGTAAGCTCTGGGCTTCCCGAGTAGGCGAGGAGGAAGCCCACCCCTGATAGAACCCGTGGCCTCACTCTTAAGAGGTGGTATGTCAGTGTGGCCTCAGAGCATGGAGGACCTGACTGTCATAAGCAAGGTGGAGTGCCAGACTCCTTGGCTGGGAGGTCTGTGTGCTGTTTCCCTGGGGGAACCTTTTGAGATGCCAGAATCAGTTTTCCGAACCAGGATGGTTTGTGCTCATTCCCAGGCACCATGATGGGTGCTTTATGCCACCTGGGAAGAAAACATGGTTTATCTCAGTTTTTACTTCCAGTAATGTGGGTCCCAAATTGGCTGAGCCCAGTTTGGGCCTGTGCAGAAGTTTTCTGGGCCAGAGTCCTTCTCTGGCTGAGCAGTCTGTATGCCCAAGTCTTGGGGTCAGACCCGTCAAGCTGGTGTTGACTGCGTTGGAGCAAGCGTCTGTTTGGCTCATTATCTGGACATGCAGTAAAGACGTCCATACTTGTTGGAATGTTTTTTCCCAAAGCCTCTGGGTTAGCTGGAGCTGTGTGGTCCAACGAGGTGGACATCTGCCACATGCGGTGTTTAAACTGACGTTAAAACTCCCCAGTCGCACCAGCCTCCTCAATTACCCAACTTTCAGCACCTGGTGGCTAGTGGGGACATGGTACAGTGCAGATAGAACATCTCCATCTTGGCATTGTGGACCATGTGCGGGTCTAGAATGTTCCTGTGGGAGCATGTGGAATGTAGCTGAGTTTGATTCTGGCTTTTCCAGGGAGCTTCAGGCTGTCACAGCGTGGCCTCTTGAGAGAGAAGTGAGTGCCTTTGAGGCTCTAAACTAATAAGCTTCCTGGCACGCTATAATATTCATCTCTCTCTCTCTCCTGTTTTATAGTCCAACCCTGTGATGATTGATGCCAAAGAAGTGTCAGCTGCGCACAGGGCCCGCTACTTCTGGGGGAACCTTCCTGGTATGAACAGGTTGGTGAGAGCTCCGTGCCTGGGTGGCCACGGGTGGGTGTCTGCAGGCAGGACGATGGCGCGAGGGGTGACCAGCCTCCCCTGCAGACCAGCTTGCTGCTCTGCCAAGTTTTTTGTCTTTGCTTTTCCTTGAGGAAGAAGGGGAGTCAGGGTGTAGAAAATAACTTGGCTGAGAATCGAAAAACTAGTGGTCCCAGATAGGACCTTTAAAAAACACACTCTTGACACAGAAGACCGTGTATTGTGCTGCTGAGTTACAGGGTTGGTTCTCTTGTACTGGTGATGAGTACAGCTAGAGTCAGCTAGTCCTTAGTTTCCTGAGGTAAAGCCATGGAGGACGTGTTTGGGAATGGGAAAGAGTGGTGCTGCCACTGGGCCACACCGGCTCCAGAGACAGCATCTTTTTTTTTTATATATATTTTCTTTTTTTTTTTCATTTATTTTTATTAGTTGGAGGCTAATTACTCTACAGTATTGTAGTGGTTTTTGTCATACATTGACATGAATCAGCCATGGATTTACATGCATTCCCCATCCCGATCCCCCCTCCCACCTCCCTCTCTACCCAATCCCTCTGGGTCTTCCCAGTGCACCAGGCTCGAGCCCTTGTCTCATGCATCCAACCTGGGCTGGTGATCTGTTTCACCCTGGGTAATATACATGTTTCGATGCTGTTCTCTCGAAACATCTCACCCTCGCCTTCTCCCACAGAGTCCAAAAGTCTGTTCTGTACATCTGTGTCTCTTTTTCTGTTTTGCATATAGGGTTATCGTTACCATCTTTCTAAATTCCATATATATGTGTTAGTATACTGTAATGGTCTTTATCTTTCTGGCTTACTTCACTCTGTATAATGGGCTCCAGTTTCATCCATCTCATTAGAACTGGTTCAAATGAATTGTTTTTAATGGCTGAGTAATATTCTGTGGTGTATATGTACCACAGCTTCCTTATCCATTCTTCTGCTAATGGGCATCTAGGTTGCTTCCGTGTCCTGGCTATTATAAACAGTGCTACGATGAACATTGGGGTGCACGTGCAGAGACAGCATCTTGAAACAGCAGGCACCACACAGCTTAGAGCATCCTGCTCCACTTGCTGTTCATGCACATTGTTGGCATCGAGTCCTTTTTTGGGAAGATGCCCTTTGTGTAGGTTGCACAGAGATGTTAATGTCCAGGAACGAAGAAAATTTCATTTCTTCAGTGTAATAGTCATATTATAAAAAGGCCTATGAGAAGAAACCACCAGGTTTCTCCCCCAGTGGCTCAGAAGGTAAAGCATCTGCCTACAATGTGGGAGATCCAGGTTCAATCTCTGGGTGGGAAAGGTCCTCTGGAGAAGGAAATGGCAACCCACTCCAGTACTCTTGTCTGGAAAATCCATGAACAGAGGATCCTGGCAGGCTGCAGTCCATTGGGTTGCAAAGAGTTGGACACGACTGAGCGACTTCACTCACTTTATGAGGATAAAAGAATTCTGGTTGAGAGTCAGCGGTTCAAAAGCAGAGGGAGACTCCCCCAATTGCAATAATATATTACAAAGAGAAGTATTTTCCAGAATGTTTTAAGTTTGTTTTAAAATTATTTTAATTGAGGGATAGTCACACTGTTGTGATGATTTTTGCCATGTATCAGCATGAATCGGCCATAGGCTATGTGTCCCCTCCCTCCTGAATGGCCTACACCCCCAAATGTGGATTTTAAATCTCCATGGTTTCCTTGTAAATTAGATGAACCATTTAACCTGACCTCGGTCATCTACTATGCCTCTCTGCCAATAGCAGGAGGTTTTAGGAACTTCCCAGTCTCAGACCTGTTTGGCAAGGCTGTCTTCCTCGAGGGCTTGTGGCTCGGAAAGAGGTGGGTCAGTGGGTAGCTGACCTAAAAACTGTCTTGGTGTCCCCCCAACCTTCCCAGGATGTTTGTGCATATTGGATAAAGTGGATGGGCTTATGTAGTCTAGAGCCACTAAGTCATTATCTCCTGACAGACCTTGGGCCTGTGGGGTTTTCTTACCTGCTTCTTCCAAGCCTAAAATTTTAGAACTCTGAGCTTCCAGGAGGAGTGGAGGTACTGCAGGGTACAAAGTACAAGCACAAGGGGACAAAGTACACTGTGTGTGTGTGTGTGCGTGTGTGCGTGCACATAAACAGAGAGGAGTTTGGAGGTGCAACTTGACCATGGGTCCTGGGTGGTGGACCACTATGTGAAACCTTTAGTAAGTAATCCTAAATGTCAGAAAAGGCTATCACCTAAAGTGATACTTAGTGATCTCGTCTGCCGTCTGAAAAGTGACACATTGAGTGTCACAGAGCTTTAGTCTTCTGGGGACTGTGCAGAATTTAAGTTCTTGTTAACTGTACATGTAAGATGTACAGTTTGATGAGTGTCATCCACCGTACATACCTGTAACCATCACCATAGTCGAAATACAGAACATTCTGTCATACCAAAGCTTGCTTTGTGATGAGTACTTTTCAGGTGCAGTCTATTTTTAGGGAACAGGTTTAAAAATTGGGTGTTTCCCCTTCTTGGCAGGCAGGCGTTATCTGTTTATTTGTAGTTTGGGACTACTTTTGAGTTTACCTTAAAGGATTTGATGCTTCATGGCCCTATGTCCGTGAGTGGCCACAGTGTCTGTGCCTGTGTTTGGGGGAGCTTGATGGGGGTTCTTTACTTCTCCATGTGAATCAGATGGCTGCTGGGTCAGTGCTGAGAGTACATCCCTGCCATTCTCCTGATTTCGGTCGTTACCCTCTCTCTCCTGCCTCCTAGGCCATTGGCATCCACTGTGAATGATAAGCTGGAGCTGCAGGAATGTCTGGAGCACGGCCGAATAGCCAAGGTTAGCCCCAGCATCAAAGCCCTCTACTAGGGATAAGGAGAAGGACAGGATGCGCTGGAGCAGCACCAGGGCTGTGTGCTGCCTGTGGAGGATGTAATTTGGGGTTGCAGTTGGCCAGAAGGGGAGGGTCTGGGGGAAAGCCTGAAGGGCAGGGGAAGAGGTCAGAATCCTTGCTGAGTGTCGCCCTGCTGGTCCTGTGGGAGGCAGACACTAAGAAGTCTTGGCCAAGATCCCTGGGCTTTTGGATTACCAGGCCAGGATCATCATTGCACAAGCCTTCAGAGCAGATTCTCCTATGATGTGGCAGTTCCATTTCTCTCTGGAGAAATCTCCTGGGACTGCTGGCACCCCAGGGGTGTCTTTGCACCCCTGGGTAATTCGGCATCCTTTTGCCTGTAAATCATTACTCCTGGGAAGAAAAACATCTCTTAGAAGACTTGGGAAGGACAGTGGCTCAAGCTGTTGTCTCTCTAGTCCTTGGCCAGCAGGATTGGAGTGAGGATGGCCGGGTACCCTCTGTGTAGGAGGAAGAGCAGGGCAACCCTGGACCCTGGATGAAGCAGGCCTTGTAGGCCTCGGACATGGCAGTCACTGTCAGCTGCGGATGAGTGCTCATCTTCCGTTTCCTCTCCCATCTTCTAGTTCAGCAAAGTGAGGACCATTACTACTAGGTCGAACTCCATAAAGCAGGGCAAAGACCAGCATTTCCCCGTCTTCATGAATGAGAAAGAGGACATCTTATGGTGCACTGAAATGGAAAGGTACCCACTCTTTGTGCTGGTGGGGGGTGGGATCCCAGCCTCTGTGCCAGGCTCAGATCCCTTGCAGACATCCCGTGAGCAGTGGGTTTGTCTTCCCAGGCATTTCCCAACATGGCTGATGCCTCTGCGTTGTGAGGCTGGGCCTAAGTAGGGGGCATCTAGGAATCTGTCCCTAGTGCCTTGGCTCCCAGTGGTCCTGCTCAACTCCAAAGAGACACTGCAGCTGCAGAGCCGGTCCCGCCACCCGGAGGCCAAGAGGGACCCGGCTTCCCTGCTTCACGCTGCTCATGTTAGGTTCTTTGTAGACCAAGACAGCACGGGAGCAGATGGGCCTTATAGCTTCAGTGCCCTCGTTTGTGCCGACTGGACTCGAGTCCTTTTTCTTGGGGTAACTGCAATTTAGCCAAACCAAGAGACAATTAACACACAACCAGAGCAAGCAGGAACTCCTGGCGTCAGGCATGAGTTGGGAGCCCTTGCAGAGTTCTCCCTCCTCTGCGGGGGAGGGGGGGATATAGGGATGTGTATTTATTACAGACTTGAGATGCCCACTGTGGGTCTCAGTCTCAGGTGAAGCGTGTCCTAGATGGGTTTTTCACAAACACTGACTTTGTTTCTGGGCGTCCTGTGTGGGTCAGTGGTAAAGAATCCACCTGCCAATGCAGGAAACGCGGGTGACGCAGGTTTGATCCCTGAGTTGGGATGATCCCCTGAAGGAGGAAATGGCCACCCACTCTGGTATTCTTGCCTGCGAAATCCCATAGACAGAGGAGTCTGGTGAGCTGTCCAGTCCATGGGGTTTGCAGAGTCAGACGCGACTGAGCACACACACAGCGTTGTTTCCGCTGTATGGTAAATCTCGGCAGTCATCATCTTAACTTGCCTTCAGACCCACATAAAGTAGCCAGGCGCCTGAGACTTGATTTAGTTATCACAGACAGGATCGCCCCAGCCTGGCGCTGACCCCTGCCCCTCTCTGCCTTTTCTCCCCAGGGTGTTTGGCTTCCCTGTCCACTATACCGACGTCTCCAACATGAGCCGCTTGGCGAGGCAGAGACTGCTGGGCCGGTCGTGGAGCGTGCCGGTCATCCGCCACCTCTTCGCTCCGCTGAAGGAATATTTTGCTTGTGTGTAAGGGACGTGAGGGCAAACCAAGTTAGTGACACAAGGTTTAACAAACAAACAAAAAACACAAAACACAACAGAACACCAACAACGTGAGGATGGAGAGAAGTATCAGCACCCAGAAGAGAAAAAGGAATTTAAAACAAAACAAACAAACCCCACAGAGGCGGAAATTCCGGAGGGCTTTGCCTTGCAAAAAGGGTTGGACATCATCTCCTGATTTTTCGATGTTAATCTTCAGTCCTATTTAAAAACAAAACCAAGCTCCCTCCCCAACCCCACTACCCCCTTTTTTTCTGGTCAAACCTTTTGTTTTCTACTCTTTTCAGAGGGGTTTTCTGTTTGTTTGGGTTTTTGTTTCTTGCTGTGACTGAAACAAGAGGGTTTATTGCAGCAAAAAAAAAAAAAAAAAAAAATCAGTAACAAAAAATAGTAACCATACCTTGCAGAGGAAAGATGGGAGAGAAGGAAAAAAAGGAAATTCTATAGAAATCTATATATTGGATTTTTTTTCTTTTTTTTTTTTTTTTTACTATATATCTTTTTTTTTGTTGTTGTCTCTAGCCTGATCAGATAGGAGCACAAGCAGGGGACAGAAAACAGACACTCAGGTGGCAGAGTCCCCTCCCAGCCACTGAGCTGTCTTGCCAGCACCATTCCTGGTCATGCAGATCACAACCCAACTAGCAGCAGAGAGACGAGAACACCACACAAGACCCTTTTATACAGTATTCAGGTGCCTACCACACAGGAAACCTTGAAGAAAATCAGTTTCTAGAAGCCGCTGTTACCTCTTGTTTACAGTTTATATATATATGATAGAAATGAGATATATATATAAAAGGTACTGTTAACTACTGTACAACCCGACTTCATAATGGTGCTTTACAACAGCGAGATGAGTAAAAACATCAGCTTCCACGTTGCCTTATGTGCAAAGGGTTTTAACCAAGGATGGAGAAAGGGAGACAGCTTGGAGGTGAACCGTTTCCGTGGTGGGGTTTTTTGATTTCCCCTTGGTGTTTAACAAGGTGTGAAGGAGAATTTGGGAACAGCGTTCTCCCGCTTCTCCCTGCCAAAAAAAGGGGGGTGAGATTCGGTGGTTGGGACCGTGGAAAGCTGAAAGTGGGATCCATCCAGGCTCACGCAATAACCTTTTGATTTTTTTCAAAAAGGAGACTCCCTCGGCAAGATGGCAGGATGAGGGGTCTTCATTCCCAATTTCTCACATTAGCCGATTCGAGGGCTCCTTGCGGTGGGATCAGAAAAAAAATCCAGAGTGCGGGCAAGTGACAGTTCAGACCCCACCTGGAGCAAATAAAAAAACATACAAAACGTACTGGTGCTCTCCTGTCTAAGTCGCTTTTTGTGTGTTCTTTTATGAGGCCCCCACCATCCACCCTCTGTGCACAAGGCGGCTTCTGGCCCCTGGAATGTGATGTTTTTGGTCATCTCCAAAGGCTGCAGTTTTATACTGGGAGGCTGATGACACCTTTTCTTATAATTATTCTTATGGTTCTGGTTATAATTATGTTTGTTTTCAGATTTTCTTTTAAGAAAACAAAAACCCAACCCCCCCCTCCCTTTAGGTTTCAAACCAAGGTGCGGGGAGCAGGGTGCTTCTAAGTTAGTGGTGGCCCTGGTGCCCTGGCTCCCCACCCCTCGGGCCAGGTGGGCCACCAGGCGCGGCGGGCAACAGCTGAGCGGCCAGGGGGGGTCCCCGAGGCCGGCCTTCCGGGCGCATCCCTCTTCTCTTCTGCTTCCCTCCTCTCGAGTCACGTGTGTCAGGGCTGGAGGGAGGACCAGGCCCCTCTCTCCTCGCGTGTGTGATCGGAGTGGTGTGTATTTTTTTTCTAGTACTTGGTCTGATGAAAGCTGTGCTCTTACCTCGAGTCGGCAGCACCTGGAGCCCCAAGTGCACGGCACTTGGTTCCGCTTCCCACCGAGGCAGGCGGCCTGGCGTTGGCGGTAGGCAGGGCTGGTGTGGGTGGCTCCAGGGTGAGGGCCCAACGGGCAGACGCCTGCCTGAATAGATGGGGTGTAGATATGTGGCATATAGAGATATATATTTTATAATGGGAGGGGGGAATGGCACCTCCTGGGACTGGCAGGGCTGGGAGGTGTGCTGTCAAGCACATGGTCCCATGTTCGCATCCCTAGAAAGATAGGGCCTATGGTGATAGGCGCTATATAAATACATAGATAGGGTCATGTATAAGAAATATTATGTCGTGGGGAGTGGGGGAAGGAGGCTCAGAAGGCTGAGTCTCGGGCCCCACTGCAGACAAGCCCCACACCAATCAATCAGTCCCACACACACACACAGGAACATGTTTCTATACCGATGCATAACAAATGCACGTGCACACACACACACACACACACACACACACAGCCAGGGAGCTCCCAGTGCTCTTCTCCCCAGGATTCAGGACTTTGCGGAGTCGGCCCTGCAGCTCTTTACCTCTGTTGCCCTGTTTGCAGGTAGACTGTCAATCCCAGAAGTTGCTAGGTGCTGAAGACAGGAAAAGGAGGAGGTTTTCTTTTAGCAGGTGCTCTCCTCTAGCAGGTAGCGTTCTATCTCTTTTGCCCCTGGTGATGTCAAAAGATTCTTCTGTTAGCAACCTGTGACACTGACCTGCAACCCTAGGCACCAGTCAAGTCAGCCCTCAGCTCCCCCTACCTATTCTCCCCCCGTCCAAAATGAAACTGACGTCCAGGGCTGTCTTGGCCAGGGGGCTTCCATTGGAAAGAAATGGGACAGCGAACCTCATCTTTGGAACAAAGCAAATTAGTAATTGGTTAAAAAAAAAAAAAAATTAACCAAGCTTTGAATCCCTTGCTCATTGCTCAGGAGTAAGCTCACAGCTGGTGGCCATGGTCTCCCACTCCTTTTAGGGGGTGCTTAGTCCCACACCTCAAGCTACTCATATCCTTGTCAGATTGGTTTTTAAGATCATACCCGGTTGCTTCCTGCCAGCTCCGTGCCGTGATGGCAGGTGGTGACGGTGGGCTCCCACGGGGCTGGAGCAGCTGGCAGGGGGGTTCCCTCTGCCCCTCCCTCGTTGGAGTCTGTACCCAACTGTGGTGCTCACCCCGCCCCCCTCCTCCTCCAGCCAGGCTCCATCTTCCTGCCCGGAGCCCACCAGCACCACTCCGGAGGGCGGGGGAGGAGGGCTGCGCAGACAGTCCAAGGTGCTCCCTCCCCTGGCGGCGGCCGACGCTAAGGTCTTCCCAGCCTGTGTCAGGACTGTCTCTTCCTCTGCAGACCTTCTGGCTCTCCTAGGCCGTGTGTCTGCTGCTGTGTGCAGGGGTTTGTTTTTCCCAGTGGCCCAGGTTCCATCCAGGGAGTGAGCGTGGGGAAGAAACTTAGTAGCCAGGGATGTGGCAAGCCCTGAGGGGTCAGCGTGGGCCGGCCAGCTTTCTTGTTGTGGCTGATCTTTGTTCCTCCTGGTCTGGCAACCTGCCTTGGCCAAAGGCCCCCTTGCAGGGATGAGCATTAACAATCGCCAGCTTTTCTTCCAGCCACACCCAGGGGCTTGGTCCCACAGTAGAACTTGGCAGGTCCCAAGGGGACCTTGGGAATGTGCCAACTTGGCCAGGCTGGGGTGCTCTTCACAATCTCCTTCCAACCCCCAGGGTGCCTCTGGGGATACCTTCTAAAGGAGAGCTGTGCTTGGATAGGCCGAGTCAAAGTCGTGCGTGGATTAAGGTGGGGGATCATTGGTAGAGGCAGTGCAGTGGGAGAAACCAGGAATGCCTTTGGAAAATTCTGGAGCATGTTCTCGGTGGAGTTTTGTTTCTCTTGAGCAGGCTTATTTACAAATTCCTGGAAATGGGGGTTTCCAGGGACTTAGGGTGGTACCCCCTACTTACTGCAGGTGCCAAGTGGAGTGTGGTGCCAAAGAGATCCGTGGCTCTGGGCTGGGGGAGCTGGCCGGGGTCACAGAGCTGGGGGTTGTCTGCCCACAGAGGAAGCTGGTACTCGGCCAGCAGCTGCTGTGCTCTGGGGGCCTCGAGCTGGTTGGTGCTGACCCCCTTCCCTGGGGACCAGCTGAAGAGCATAGGCTGGGGAGCTGGGGGTGAAGGCTGGTGGGGTCTTGCAGACAGCCACCTGGGTGTGCCACTGTCTGTTTTTCTTTATAGACCCCAGAACCTTCCTGCTGTTGAACATTCTAGAAAGCAGACTTCCCCAAAAGAGTACAGGGGGCTGCTTTGCTTTTGAGACGGGCCTGGGAGAGGTTGGCTGGCGAAGGTGCCTGTGTGGGTTTTTGATGAGTTTGTAGGACGCAGATTGGGACAGGCCGACCCAGCAGGAAGGAAGGCTGGTGGACATTGAACTAGTCTCCCCCTACTTCCTGAGCAACTGGCAATTCTGGGGAAACCTCAATGGGAATAGCCCACCATCTCCAGCACAGGATGGTGTACAACAGGAGCAAGGGAAGGATTCTTTCAGCAGAGCCATCCAGGGAGTGGTCTTAGTCTTCATCTCACTGATGACATAAGTTATATATAAAGTGGGTCTTGGAGGCGGATTTGAATTCCTGTTGTCCTGCCTGGTGCAGAGATGCTGTGGCAATGGTGTCTTTAAGAGGTGTCATTTTCAGGGAACTTGCAGGGTTAGGGCCATGGGACCTGCCTGGCACCGCGATCTGATCTGACAAGAGCTGCTTGTTACTTGTGGTCAGCAGAGCCCAGATGCTGGTGAGAACTGGGTTTCTAGCCAGGCCCTGTTTTGATCCTGGGAGATGAGGAATCTGAATTTGTCATCAGGCAGGGTCTAGTTTGGACGCTTCCAGCCCTTGTGGTCAAGAGAGGACACTGGAGTTGTCCCGCTCTCTTTTCCTCCACCTCTGGAGGGGTGGTGTGGACCTGCTGGAGCAAGGATTAACCACAAGTGTTTGGAGGATCTAAGAGGAAAGAGGATAGATTTATATCAACGATGGACTCCACTGTTCTAGCAGAAGCTCTTGGATCTTTACGTTTTGGTAAAGGAAGGCCGGGGTCTCTAGGATGTGAGGTCAGACTCTCTTGCACTGTGTGTTCCTGAGACCCGGCTGAGCAGGCCTGTGGTTGGCTTCCTGTTTACCGCTGGCCCTCAACAGTGGAGTCCAGGGGAGAGGGACAGACAGGCAGGTCAGAAGCAGTGAGGACAAGGATGAAAGGTCCTTGGCTGGTCATGACTGGCTAAATTGCCCTGACGGAAGCCCCCAGACTCCTGTAACTCCCCTAACTGGAAAACTTCCCCAAGGGGCATGGGAGGGCGGCTTCCTCATGGCCTCCAGCCCTGGGCCCGAGAACATGAGCAGGGATCCGAAAGCATCACCTGAGTCCCATTTCACTTCACAGACTGATTTGGTAGCACAGCCCTAGAATCCAACCAACCACAAAAATACCGAAATTCCTTAGAATACGCAGAGGGAGGAGGTGACTCAACAAGGTGCTAAAACATTTTATTAAAAATATATATTGTTAAATTAAGTCTGCTGTCTGGACAATGACTGTTTGTTTTGTTTTCTTGTAGTGGAGTTTAAAAGAGACTATTATTTTACTCTGATATATTATTATTAAAAAGGCATTTTAACTTTGTACTTGAAAACTAAATGAACGATTTCATGTGTTTTAGCTGAGGCATTGAAGTAGCGGGTGCTTACTTATTTGTGGGAAATCATGTATTCATACTGAAGAATAAACTCCGTAGCTGATTTGGTAATAACTTTTACTGTTACAGACGATTTCGCTTTGACCCCGGCGGGAGAGCACTTTGACTGCACATTCCACGCAGCTAAATGCAGGACTTACTCCCCGACCCTTCCCTTCCCGGCCCTCTTTCCTTTTTCTTCAGTTCCTCTTCTGACTCTTTGTTGTTGTTGTTGTTTTTTTTTTCTTCCTGGTTCCAGCATCCTTTCACCACTGTATTTTTTTTTTTTTTTTTTTTAGGGTTGCTTCTCTATTTATTGACAATAATAATGTACATTTCACAGTCTGGTTCTGGGACATTGGGGAGGGGGTGTGAGAAGGCCCTGCGTGGGTCCCCACCGCCATGCCCCCATGTCCTGTTGTATCTCTGTGTAAGTGATGCTCGTGACATAGCTGTTATGAAATAATTATAAAGAGGTCAGTGCGTACAGCAGATGTAGAAAGTCTGTCAATTCCGCCTTCATCACATTTTTTTTTGTGCCCAGAAGAATATAATAAAGCTCCTTTCTAATGTACTTGTGCTGGAGAACACTTGAATAAATGGACTGTTTTTGTGCAAAAAGAAAAACGGAAAAAGCACCGTAATAATGTCCTTTTGTCTTGCGTCTCCTTCCCCCTGACATGACTGTTCTCAGCCTTCCCCAGAGAGGTTTAAGTGCCCCAATTGGGAGGTCCTAGCATTGGGTGTAGACAAGGCAGTTCCCCCCTTTAAAACATCACCTGCATGAACATTCAATAAGGATTGTAAACCAGATGAAAAAAAGGGTGGTTTGATTGACTGGAAGGTCAAAGATCAGTTAGCGAGGCATAGTTGCTGGAAAAGCAAATTCTGTCCAAGGCTGAGCGGGGAAGATGATCATCAGAGGGATCACAGGGCTTTGGTCATGGGCACTGTTCCCCTCTCTCTGGGTTTTTTTTTCCCCCAAAACACAGGGGCATCCAGAAGAGAGCACCGGTGTGGTGGACAGTCTGGACTGGGCAATGGACCCTGCAAGACACAGGCATTTGGCCTGAAAAAGGGAGAATTGAGGGATGAGTGCGGACAGTGACAGGGTAAGCCCAGGGGGTGGGGTGATTCTGGGTCATTCCATGTGGCAGGTGGAAGAGGGGCCTGCAGGCAGAGGTGAACCTGTTTCAGCTCAGCATAGGGAGATCCTGTTTCACTCCTGGCCAGCAGTACAGGGCTTCCCTGAGAATAGCGAAACCCTGGTTGATTAAGAGGTGATGAACAGCCACTGGGGCTCATGCTGGGCTTCCCTGAGACCCCAAGCCTGGGTTCTGGCTGACCTGCCCCTCCTTGGCCCTAACTTGCTCGTAGACAGTGCCTTGTGGTTGGAAGAGCCGGTCCACACACGACATCCCTTTTGTCCTCATGATTCTTTGCCTGATGGTCACTAGTTCCCTGTCCTCCCATCTAAGAGACTGATCTGAACACACAGAAGAATCCGACTTTTCCCATCACATCTCCCTAAGACCCCCATTTCATGCTGCACTTCCATCCTAAGCACCAAGCAGATCCAGCCAACGGTTTCTTCTCCTAAGGGAGGGTTATTCAAGGTTTCTTTCCTACATTAGATTTTGGGGGAGGTTTAGGACGGCACCACTTTGCTGGCAGCTTTGAAAGAAATTATAAGGGGAAATTTTTAGAAAAAGAAAATAACAGGCCCCCCCCTCCCATGGGCACTTTTTATTTTCTTTACAAAACTGTAAATGTGTATTTAACTTCTACTTTTTTCTCATATTTTTCAGTATTGATGTAGAATTCTTTTTTAAAAATGGCTGCATGACATTTTCTTGTTGGATGTTTGTTTATATATATATATATGCATTTTATTTTAGCTATAAATAGAGCTGCAATAAATATCTTTATATGTTGGCTTTCCCCCCCTATATTTTGTATTTTTTTCTTTTAAGATACATTCCCAGGAATGAAACTTACTGGGGCAAAGTATGAACATGGTGGTCGCATCCTGACACATTTGCCTGATTTCCGCCCAATCCTCAGCTCTGAGACTCTGAGTTCAGAAAGAAACAAATGTAGTCTTTTGTCAGACAAACTTCGAAATGTGTTCATCTCAGTGAGAAAGACTCAAGACTCTGTGTGAGAGAGAAGCTGGAGATCTGCAGCTACAAGCCAGAGATGGAAGCAATACTATTTGGTCACTAAATTTTGAAAGTGAGCTCATTTGGAGTGTGGGCCTGGAGGAAGCCTGGCAGAGGGTGGAATTCACACTGAGAGTCTAGCTCCAAAGCTAAGGAGAAATGGGAGGGTGTTTTTGGTGCCTTCCTGCTCTGAAAGCCAAGGCTGAGCACCCCAGTGTCATCTGAGCTGGGGGGTGGGAGGTCTGGCCAGAGCTTATGGGAGGGAGATTCTGGGGCCATTTCATTACTAGAAACCATCCTGTGAAGTTCCTGGATTTAAATAAGATGTTATTTGATGATACAGGGATTGGGAGAGATAGGAAAAGGTCAGGACTGGGCAGGAATCAAGGTAAATGGGGATTGACTGCTCAGGGGAGGGCAGGCTGCCCTGGGTGGGGAGGAGGTGCCATATACCACCAGGTCCAGGCTTGTTGGTTGAAAAGATCCTTCCCTGGGCGCAACAAGGTTAATTTGGGTCTGGAGTGGAATTAGAAGAGGGAGGAGAGAAGAGGCTGGCTGGGGGCTGGCTGGTTGGGGAAGCCAAAGTCATACATAGCAGGGCCAGAGGGGCAGGCGTGGGCAGTGGGTGTCACTCCTGGGGGTGCCGGTTTTGGGGGTGAGGCTTCAGTGGGGGGGGGGAAGAAAGTGTATGTTAGAGGTGGGGGCACAAGGAAGTCACATCCAAGGAGGATGAGGCTCCCTTTGGACAGTCCCCTGGTATCACCCCAAAGCTCCCTTTCTCTTTAGTTCCAACACACTTTAAAATGGGCTTTCCTGGTAGCTCAGATGTTAAAGAATGTGCCTGCAGGGAGACCCTGGTTCCATCCCTGGGTCAGGAAGATCCTCTGGAGAAGGGAATGGCAACCCACTCTAGTATTCTTGCCCAGAGAATTCCATGGAGAAATCATGGGGTCGCAAAGAGTCAGACATGACTGAGCGACTTTCATTTTTCACACTTTAAAAGGCCATGGCCCACTCACCTCAGTGGTACCTTTGCCTCCCCTCACCTGGGATCCGAGGAGGGGCTGCGGCTGGGCTGGAAGGCTGGAGGCTTGGGGACGACAGCCTCTGAAGGGTGGACAACTCAAACAGCAATTTCCAGAGGTGGGTTCAAATGTCAAAGAGCAGCCCTGCCAAGCTCTCCCTGTTCAACCCCGAAGTCCCAGGTGCGCTGAACTGTAGCAGAAGAAAGACCATCATTTAGAACATGCTTGTCTGGATCCTGTGTGGCCTCGGGCAGGTCAGCCACCCTTCTTGGGCCTGGGTCTTCTCGCTGGAAACTTGGGTTTTGATGTGTGGTCAAGCATGTGGCCTCTGGTGGCACCCTTGTGAAAAGGGAGGAGACTCGGAGCCTTTGGCCCTGAGGCCCTGATGGGTCACAAACCCTGCAGCCCCCTCCCCCCTGCTTCACTGGAGGAAGGAAAAATGCCAGCATAGAGAAATATACCCCACCTCTCCCAAGGTGTCCATCCCTTGTCTGGCCCTGACTTGGCTTGGGTAACAGCGACTTGAGCTTACTCCATCACCGAGGTCCTGCCTGGCCCAGTGTGAGGACTTCCCGTTACCTCCCTGTCCTTCCTCCCCCAACCCACACCTCTCGCCTGTCTCAAGAGGGGGCTGTGCTGATCCTCTCTCAGATACCCTGTTTCTCTGCTCCACTTTACAGCGATGAAACTTGAAGGCACTCCCAGCCCTCACCGGCTCTGCTTGCTCACTTCCTGTTCCCCTCCCCCCTCCCCCAGCAGGGCCATCACCCCCCTCCCATGACCTCTCAAGAGCTGGACCGGGGGACTCCCCTCCTCCCTGAGTTGCTGACATCACACCCTGCATCTTCCTATGCCCCTGGGTTCCTTCCTCTTCCTGTCCTCAGCGTGTGGGAGGGTCTGGGACTCCCACATCCTCCTCCACCCCAGCTTCCCTTGGAGGCCCAGGTTCATATATCCAGCTATGATCATACATCCAGCTGGCCCCTACACTTGGAGGTTACACAGGCACCTTAAATGTGACCTGAAAACCCTAATTCTTGGTCTCCTCTCAACCGGCTCCTAGTCTATGTCTCAGTAACTGGCGCTTGTGTGTGTGTGCTAAGTCACTCAGTTGTGTCTGATTCTTTGTGACCCCCATGGACAGTAGCCTGCCAGGCTTCTCTCTCCATGGAATTTTCCAGGCAAGAATACTGGATTGGGTTGCCACTTCCTCCTCCAGGGAATCCTCCCAACCCAGGGATCAAAGCAGAGTCTCCGGCATTGGCAGGCAGGTTCTTTACCACTGAGCCCCCAGGGAAGCCCTCCTATCACCCTACAGAGAGTGAAATACCTGATAGTATGTAGCTACCTGGGAAGCCCCTTCACTGGCATCTAAACCCTGGGGCTCATCCTTGATTCCTCCCTTTCTGTCACTTCCTATATCTGGTTCACCAATTTGTTCTAACAGTCCTCACCTCTAAATGTATCCTTCATTCAGCCATCCTTGCCCACCCTGCTTCTGCTGCTTTAGCCCAAGTCCCGATCATCTGTCCCCTAACTGGTCTCTTTCCCCATTTTTTTGCCTTCTTGTCCCTTCTAGCCCATTCAGTACACAGAATAATCTCATTAAAAATCAAACCCTAAAAAAAGCCCCATCAGTTCTGTGCCTGGTGGCTCAGATGGTAAAGAATCTGCCTGCAATGTGGGAGACCTGGGTTTGGAAGATCCCCTGGAGAAGGAAATGCCAATCCACTCCACTATTCTTGCCTGGGTAATCCCATGGACAGAGGAGCCTGGCGGGCTGCAGTCCATGGGGTCGTAAAGGTCAGACATGACCGAGCAACTAAACACAGCACAGCACATACAGCAACAAGAATAAACTTCACCTCGGACTCCAAAGTTCCACCAGCCTCAGACAACACCCAAGCAGCACTGGTCTTCTTTCCTATAAACACACCAACCTCTTTCCAGTCACAGGGTTTTTGTACAAGCTGCGCCCTCTACCTGGAAAGCTTATTCATCTCCCTCCTCTGCCTGTTTCCCCTCATTTAGGTCTCTGGGCAGAGAGACACTCCCTGACCACTCTCCTATCTCAAGAAGTCTTGTTTCTACTCCTTCCTATTTTATTCCTTATCTTTGTAGCTATCACTCTGAAATTCTGACTCATCATTTTGGTTTACCTGTTGATTAACTATCTTTCCTGCAAGAGCAGAGCCTTCCCCGCGGCCCACACCAGGTCTGGCACATAATCTCTTTCTAGTTATTATAATCATTGTTATTACTAACAATGTATGTACCAGAAATCATTCTGTGTTAACATCTTCACAACCTCTGTGCCAGGTATTATTATCCCATTTTACAGATGGGATACATACTCGGTCATGATCACTGGGCACACAGTGGCAGTGTCTGAATTTCAAAAACTGTCTGCATACTTCCAGGCTGCAGGTTGCAGCCTGAGGTATTACC